AGGAAAGGGCGGCGACGGCGGACCACCCATTCCGGGGCCCCAGCCACAAGCAGCACTGATACCCCTGCAGAAAAAGCACAGGAGGCAGGCCAGGATTACTCTTCCTGCCCTGAGATTCACAGAGGAAGAAGAATGATGAGGAAGCTATAGCTGAGGCTGCCCAGTCCTCCAGAAAAACAAGGATGGGCTTTGCTACAGCACCAGATATCAGCAACCCTGCACCACAGGCAAGAAAGGCAACCCTGGAACAAGCACGAACTCTCAGATGTACAGGGTGGTGCAGTCAAGGGCTGCTCTTCTCCCACATCCCCACTGGCAGAGGAAGGGTTGGCTCCACAGGACTCGCCCTCCCCAGCTGCAAGAGCTCCTGGAGCACGAGGCATCCCCACAACCAGCAGTCTCAGGTCACATAACAAAAGCTGAAAATACAACAAAACCCAGTTTCAGTGCAAACCACTCTTTAATTCTCCTCTTTGTACAACAGAGCGAGCCACTTACAAAGTGCTAGGTCTAAAAACCAGGTCTAGTATTACTGCGTACACACAGCAGCCAAAGCCCAGCAGCTCAGAGGCAGAGAAAGTCAGAGCTGGACCACTTTTTCCTGCAGTACAGCAGAGTCTGTTCAGCATCCGAGCGTCAGATTCAGCCTCACTGAAGCGTTTCTCAGTATCAGCACAGGTGGGGAAGTAAGGAGGAGAACAAAGGCTATTTCAGATTGATTTTCCTTTTAAAAAGGCCTTTTACTCCCCTTTCTTTCCTCTCTTCCCCACTTAAGAATGCCCACATGATTTTCTTCCAGGATAAAACAAACAAAATAATGCTGATCAGAGTAATTCAGTGCAGTGCTACAGCTAAAAATTGCTTTTTGGGTGCTCCCCTCAGCAATGAGAAAAACAAAAAAAAACCAAAAAAACCCCCAAACAACCCAGAAATAAAGTATTAAGAGTTGTAAAAATCCCAAACAACCCCCAAACCAGAACAGCAGAAGCAATTAAGCAATTCTGATCTCAAAGCTCATATTTCAGTGCTTTAAAAGCAAAATTCCCCAGATGGGGATCACAACACCAGCGTGCCAGCTAGAGGCAGCCCCCCTCCTCCCATTGCCTTGCTCCAGGGCCACACGGTGCTGCCCGCCCTTCCTATTGCGAGGAGCAGGACAAAACCACGGGCTTTTGTTTGGCTGCAGCACAGCGGAGGCGCAGGGACAAGCACATTAACAGCTTCCTATGGGGTTTGTTGTTGAGAGCTACAGCAAGGGAGCCGAGCTGGCCTATTTGGACTTAAACGGGTAACTGCTGTTACAGGCTATGGTCAGCAATGAAGCCACAGGGACTCTGCACAGACAGGACCGAGTGGCTACAAGCACACATTTTAGGGGGAAAGGAAAAAAGCAGGATGGTAGCCTGTCTTAGCCTTTTGTTCTGCCAACACACTTGGCTCCAAGAAGGAAAAACCCTCCTGTTTGGTTCACCACCTTGAGCCAGGCATTTCCATTAGAAAATGCAGACTAAGGCTCTAGATTTGTCTTCTTCTTCCCCACGGAAGACCATTTCTGCACTGAGGACAGGTCAGATCTAGTGCTCAAAGGAGTCCTCATTCAAGAAGAGAGCTGGACATGAGCCCTACAAGTAACACAGTCAGTAAAGGAGGACAGAGGGAAGAGGATCTGCCAGTAGTGCTGAAAAGATGGGAGCAGAACTATTCAACTGCTAAGGCAAAGAGACCTCGGACAGGACCATCACACCCACAGCCTCACAGAAGATGATGGGGTGGGGGATCTAAAGGGCAGCACTCGAGAGAGGAGGAGAAAGGCTGAAGAAGCAGTCTAAACAAAAGTCACAAGGCAAAAGGCTGAAAACTCTCACAATCCATTGCATTGCTCTGGGAACACAGCGCTGAGCTCTGCTGCGGAAAAGAAGCCACATAAATGAACGAAGATAAAAATGCTGTCACTGCACAACCTATAGGAGGCAGAGCGGAGGCAGAAAAGTGTTTACAGAGCAGCCTGGACGTGAGGGGTGTAGGAGATGGATGGAGAGAACAAGAAATCGCCAACCTTACAGATGATGTCTTCTCTGAGAAGAACGGGAGCCAGAGCCAGAACAGCCGTATGCTGCCATCGATGTGCAGAGCGCACCACAGAGGCAGGTACGATTTACTTCGAGTGAAGTTTCCTACATTACAGGAGTCAGTGTTCACACGAAAGGCTGAGTCAAAGTCTCAACTGCATCGATCAAAGGACACAAGAGAAACTTTCACAGCATAGCAAGGTGAGCAAAGTACGATGGCAGAGACTGCAGCAGACAGGCCAGGTGTACTGAACTGAACTTCCAGAAGAGGTGCAGCAAGCTTACCTGACACAGGCAGGGCCCAACAGCAACGCCAGAGGGTTGGCAGGAAGCCCCCATGCCGATTCACAGAACCATACCCAGGACACTCCTCCAAGGGCCCCACAAGGCTCAGCTGTGACCTGGCCTCAGCTGAGGCCGAACTCTCCCAAGCCCAGCTACAACCCTCAGACCAAGTCCCACAGCCCGAGCCTCTAGCCACACAGCTCAGCCAGATTTTAAAAAGAACTTTATTGAAGCTCCAATATATATTATTTTTGGCTTAAAATACCCAAGTGTCAGCACCCATTCCTGGCTCTCCAGTGCTATTCTGCAATCCCCAGCACTGAATCTTTCAGCGCTAGATTTTCTGCTCGACTCCTACAGAAGGAAGAAAAATTCTCAGACGCCTCAAGCATGGCTTTAAAAAAGCAACTGCTAACATGGTGGCCAAGTGCTGGAGGTGATGTTTAGTTGGTATCCATGCCGTCACACTCTTCTTGGGGAGGAGATGGGGCAGTATGTTCCTCACTGTTTCGGCGCTGATAAAACAGCACATACGCAGCTTTTGTCTACCAAACAAAGAAGAAAATGACCTGAAACAATCCACACAGCTTGGCTGGAAATAAAAGGCCCAAAGCAGGAAACCACAAACAGCACAAACTCAGATTAGTCTCAGGCCAAATACTCACCACTATTTGGTCTTCCGAAGCCACCGATACACTGCTGTCATCAAAGTAGTACCACTTGTCATTCACTTTGTTCTTTGCGTAGGCAGTGTCTGTCAGGAGAAGAAACTCAGTACTTGGGGAAAGACCAGCACGTAATGTCATGCCAGCTGCGCCGCACCAGCAATGCTCCAGAGTCAAACTGAGTGTACATGGGAGGCCAGGAGCTAACTTTGACATTAACTACCCCAAATCTAGTTCAACATACACATCTGGAACACACTGGCCAGTCCAGGTAGTCTAGAACCATGTCCCACATACCAGATTACTGCTGACTGCTGAGATACAGGGCAAAGAAACTTAGGAAATACACTGCAGTGTTTTGTTTACCCACCTCGAGCTAGAGCTTTCCCAAACACACAGTTTAAGCCACTGCATGGGAAATCTTGATTCCACTTACGTTGGGGAACACCATCACATGCTCTAATGACTCCTAACCAAAGCCCCACAGGCATCAGAGTCAGACCTCAGGCAGCTGCA